GCTCGGGGCGGATTCACTCGCTGCCTTGCACGGGACCAGCACTACAGGCCCCTTGCAAGGAATATGTGAGAGGTTGTTGTTAGTACAGAAAGAAAAGAAAATCTGTATGAAAATGAAAATATGTTCATGCCTTTTGCCTCATCAAACTCTGTCTGTACAGGGATGTACGCTATGTGCATTCCATGCAGGTGAAATAACCTTTGCTTTAAAATAACACATCGCTGAAGCAGAGGATCAAAATCGAAGTTAAGCTTCGTCAGGTGTTTGCTCTGAACTGTCTTGCCTGAGTTTTATTTTCAGAGGCCTGAGGGTGCTCTGATATGCAGTGTGAGATGAGTAACACTGTCTTTTTGCTGCAGGATAGATTTAAATAGTACGGTGAAAGAGAAGTGTCCCATTTACAGTGCCCATTATGTGATCTTTTAATTTAAAGCAGTCATTTGTATCTAGCACTACGGCACACGCAAGGGAAAAGCAACTCTTGGAATTTGAGGCAAATTTGTCCCTGTCTTGCTGTGCAACAACAGGCAAATTGCGACTAGTTTTTGATCGTTATGCACGAGCTTAAGGTCATACGGTGGTGTTTCCTTGCAGTGCCAATGCTTCAGGTAGGATACGTTGACACTTTCGAAAGAGGATTGTACCAAAGAACGAAGTCCTGCTAATACAGCCTGAAATTCAGACCTCTGCTCCCTGTCCTGCGACACAGACCGCTTGGGCAAGGTGGTTTGGCGCCCTTCTCCGGGTGCGGAGATAACCCGAGGCCTCAGCGAGGCTCTGGACGCCTTCCAGGCAGGATCAAGGTCATGCGATAGTCATCTGGAGGACAAGGATTTAATAGAGCCTCATAAAAATGTTAATACACTTCCTTTCACTGAGACATTGGAAGAGAGTTGAGAATGTGCCATTAGCTAAATTTCATTTTGAAAAAAAAAAAAAAGTTTTTTTTTTTTCCAGAAAGAATGTAAAGCATCATTATCTTCTTTCAGAAATGGCTTTTATTTCAAAATAATAGCTAGCCTGGCAGACAGACAGCATAATTGTTCCCTCATAGAACTAGACTGGTGTTTTTTGTGTATACACTTTCTCTCCACCTATTTCTCCTCCTTTGACTTTGTTTTTATATATCTCTGATGGCTATCATTACAGAGCAAACATTTCTATGCAGGCAAATACACATCATATATAAAGCCATCTCCAAATATGCCGCATGCAGCTAATGACTTATTTAAAACAGCTGCTAGATGGAGGTGGGAGGGAGAAGCAGAACTAATGAAACCCAATTTCTGCAGAGTTGCATGCTGGAGGCCTGTGCCTCAAAACAAACCAGACCTGTAGAAATGTTGATCTTTGCAGGCCCGAGTGCTGCTTTAGCTCCTTCCGGAGGCTGGACGCCAAGGCTGCTACGGAGCGATTCCAGCAGGATCTGGGCTTCCGCATGCTGAACTGCGGCAGGACGGATCTCATCAACCAGGCAATAGATGCGCTGGGACCTGATGGGGTTAATACCATGGATGATCAGGTATTCCTATAACTGAAGAAAAACGTCCTGTGCTCGAGCAATTTGGGTTTTAGTTGTGCTTCAGTGGAGCAAATGGATGCCTGAGGTGTTACCTGCTGCATCTTTGAGGCCTTTCTAATTCTAGCCTGCCTTTTAGCCTGAAAGTTCATCCCGTAAAAACCTGAAGCCGAGGGCGAGTTGTTTCCCTCTCAGCTGGAGGCCGTCCCTGAGGGAGAGCAGGTCGCTGCGCTGCCTTTGGAGGGGCAGCCTGCCGTGGTCCCAGGGCGAGGGGGGTGCCAAGGCGCTC